CTTCGAACGACGGTTTTGAAACCAGATTTTTACCTGGAAAACAAGCAAACTATTCAGTATCTAGCGTAGCATTAAACCATGTCAAGTCACCTTATTTATAGCGCTTTTATACAGTACCAATGTCTTATGTACATAGACATGCTCACATATATTATATAAACACAGACTTTTATCATAGACATATGAACAAACTTTTTAGTTAGATGCGATTAATCGCGATTAATCGATTTGACCGCACTTATGCGGTTAACACTTATAACACTTTACAATAAGGTTATTAGTTAACACGAACTATAACGAACTGCACTTAAAGAGCATTATTCATCTTTGTTAATGTTAATTTCAACATTATTAAAACCTTGCCAACATTAGTAATGAACTAACATGAACAAACAACGAACAGATTTGTATTAACTGACATTAACAAAGATTAACAAATACAGTAACAAATGTATATTGTTCATGGTTATTTAATTAACTAATGTTGACTAATGAACCTTATTGTAAAGTGTTACCAATTGTTTTCATTATCAGGCCGCCATGTCTATTGGATGATAATTTCACATTACAACCCTAACCTTTGAAATAATAACACACACACACACACACACACACACACGCACACACACAATATTCGCTCTAATGTTAAATTATAGCTATAGGAATTAAGGAGTGTTACTAGGATTTAAAAGTTGTTTTTAGTGTTTTCTCTGAAAAATGCTGGGTTGTTTTAACCCAATTTTGGGTCACTTGGTGTCATTTTAAATGCAATTTTTAACCCAATGTTTGAATTTGTCCATATTTGACCCAAAATCGGGTTAAACAACCCTGCATTTTTTAGAGTGTTGTTATGATTATGGAATCCCATTTTTTTTCCAGAGATTAATGAGCAGTTTTTACGCTTTAAAAATTAACGCTAATGAAAGCGTCGGCAATTTGCTGGCTGATCCGTGTAAAGCGTGTGTGTACCTGTGTTTGCGTGAGTCCCAGTGACGCTGCGAGCTCTGCTCTCTCCGGCAGAGCCAGATACTGCGTCTTCTGAAACCTCCTCTGCAGGGCCGCCAGCTGGAAACTCGAGTAAATAGTTCGCGGTTTTCTGATTTTCTTTGGCTTTCCATTAACCATTCGAATTTCAGGTTCACTTTCTTCTTTTTCTAGGAGAGTAAACAAACATATTACAAAAAGTCGAAATTCAAAATAAAACAGTCACGCAATGCAATGTAATAATAAAAACGTTATTTTTAGCATTTTCACGCGCAATTAAAACAGCGCTACAAAATCATGATTTATGTCTCAATACACGTTTTTTCCTTCACTGATACTCTGTAAATATATAGTAAGATTTCAATTTTAATGTTACAACGCGTATTGCCACAAGAGAGAGATATTTACCAGCATCTGCAGGAGTTGGAGAAGAGCAGGGGCCGTACGCGCCGTAGGGACCAAACGCGTTGCCGAAGCCCAGTTCATATGATTTGGTGTTGTACTGGACGCTGTTCATGCTGGTGTTCTGGTATTGGTAAGAGCTGATCTGGTCGTACGGAGAGCTTGAGCACTGTCCGGCCTGCTGGTTATTATTATAGTAGCTGCTGTCGGTAGCGGTGGAGACAGGGAGAGTCGGGGATTCCTGGGATTTGTGCAGACTGTGGTAACTGCTGGAGGTAATCTGGTTTGAATGCATATCTGTACTGAGGCTGTCAAAAACTCCGGTTATGTTTTTCATAACGCAAAAAAATACTTAAACGCACGTCCAACGAAAGAACAAACCCATAAAAAAACTTCTAGAGGCGCACAAAAGTTAAAAGGTTTTCTGAGTTAAGTTACATTCCCCGCTGGAAGAAAACAAACGCAGACGCCGCGACGCAATGCAGAAGTGTGATTGTGTGTCAGCAGAGATGCGGGAGGACGGACATTTATCGCGCGTCATGGGGAGGATGAACCTGTGCGCGCGGAGCAGCCAATCAATGCGGGATACACACTGCACACACATGCATGAAATGGGTGCATCCTGTGTGGTGATGGTCAACTGCAACACTTTATACTACACGAAACACGCATGACCTTCTGAAAAAACATTGACAACATTCTTTATAGCCTACGTTTTATAGCGTTACGCGTTACCAATCATTGTCGTGATCAAATTAAAATGGCGACGAAACCTTAATTGTTTGAATTATTCGTAATTCTTTTGATTATTTTAAATGTCTTCTATGTTTGAATTACCATTGTGTATGAAATGTGTTATATAAATAACCCTAAAATATTTTTCGCAGGCCCTTATTCTGAATACACGGGCTTCTTCTGTAAATCCGAATAACCTATAATGTGTTTTGATTTATTAATAAAAGGTTTAACTTTCACGTGCTGCGCTTCATGAACTTTTACAGATAGCTGAAAACCAACAATGCCTGAAAAGCAAGCCAAGCACCATGCATGGAAGTGCTCATTTTGCAATTGTTTATTGATTTCAACCCAGCAATTAGACTTTTGACTTAGACGACAGCCGCTCTTTTGGGCATGGCATGCATGGCACCCTGCCCTGCTGCGACACCTGTTGGTGAAAATAAAACGCTTGCGCTTAGGGTACTGGTGTCACTATATTAAACCCAGGCGCGATTCTAGGATTTTTTCAACTGGGGGCACAAGAGTTAAAGGGATTGTTCACTATAAAAATAATGTGGACTTCTCTGTGCATGCTCTTTGAGGTGGTGACCATAGACCTTCATCATGACTGACAGACAAGAACGGTTTGACCTAAAAATATCAAAATTAAAACTACTGTGGAAACAAAGACACCTACATCTTGGATGCCCTTGAGGTAAGATAAAACATATCAAAAGTTAATTTGAAAGTGAACAATCCTTTTAATACGGAGGGGCCGATCTTATGTTGTGTTTATGTAAAACTCTAGATATCCAAAATCACTTGAAGTTCAGTAAGTTTTAAAATCAGCAATACACAGTGCTATCTTATTTTCTTTTAATTTATTCACTGCTGTAAATAAGCAAGCAATTTTTTATTTACTTTCACTTTCAGAAGTGAAAACTGTACTAAATTAAATGATCGAATCTGTGATTTGAGGACAACTCACAAAATAATAAAACTCAACAAAATAGGTTATATAAACTTTACACAAATCCTCACAACCGTATGGGCAAAAATAAATAAAACAGCCTTATTATACAATGCAGAAGTATAATATTCATTTAATAAATACACAATTAACTAATATAACTTTATTAATGAAATACGATAATAATAACTTGTATCCACATTAAATTAGCATAGCAGTAGTTGCAGTAAATTTGCATTGATAGACATCTAAATATGCCAAGAGTAATTAGCCTTATGCATATCATATATTCATATTTTCTGTAAGATAGTTTGTACCTTTAGAAATATAAATGTAAATTAATATAATTTTCATATAAATTCATATAATTTACCTACATGAAATTATATGAATCTGATAAAAACAGTTTAAAATAGCTTAATTAGTCAGTGTTATTTTAGTATTATTTCTTTATGCTATTATACATTTAAAGTAATATTTTATTACGTGGCTAATTATATTTATGTTTTTTTTTATTTGAGAATGTTTCTGGATGTGAATTTTATCTTCATAGAAAACACACACAAAATTTAATTTGAGACTCATATTGTTCACTTGACACAAAATTCAAGAAATTAGCCAGATTCCCTTACAGAAAAAACACATGGACTTCACATGTGGTCACATGTGAAAAACGTGAAATTCATATGTTTTTTTTTTCTGTAAGGGAATTGTGCCGCACAACATTGCAAAACCCTTATTGTGTTATTTTATAGGTCAATTACATTCATTCACCCACAGATCATGACATCGAACCTGGTGAAAAAAGAAAAAGCAGGAAGCAAAGTAAAATTCACGACGCGAAAAACTGTAAATGCCCTAATTGAACTAAGGCCTAATTAATCCTGGTATATAATCTAAGACCTGTCTGTGAAACCAGGCCTAAATTAACAACGCATTCTCATCCCAAGGCGTCATATAGTGACGCTTTTGACAATGCGTATACATCCAACGCACATGGCACCCTTTAGCGTCAATATGACACGCTTCGGTTATGGGTAGGTTTAGACCACTAAGGAGGCGCCTTCTGCCCCATATATCTGCGTCTCATATTGACGCTAAAGGGTGCCATGTGCGTTGGATGTACACGCATTGTCAAAATCAGTATATGATTGCCCTGGGATGAGAACGGGCTGAAATTAACTAACTAACTAACTAACTAACTAACTAACTAACTAACTAACTAACTAACTAACTAACTAATTCAAAACAATTATTTTATTTGGTTTGTGAATACAATAAAAAAGCAGCAAAACCACGAAGAACTCAAACTGTGGCTGTTGATTGTTGCAGAAACTGTATGAAATGTGATGCAATAGAATGCCATTTGGGGAAATTGTCTAATGTGCTTCTGATATATATATATATATATATATATATATATATATATATGAAGAGTTCAGATGCAAAAGCCTATAAATGCCATTTGAAATTTTCTTCTTTAATGATGATTTTTTATCAAACTTGTATATTTAAGTTCATTAATTTCACTTAAATAACAATTAATAGGTAATTATCATTGCCATTTAAGTGAAATTACTGAACTTAAATATACAAGTTTGATAAAAATCATCATTAAAGAAGAAAATTTCAAATGTCATTTAGAGGCTTTTGAATCTGAACTCTTCATATATATATATATATATATATATATATATATATATAACAATAGCATATGGGAAATAAACAGCCTTCTTCATTCTCTTCTTCATCTCTCCAGCACCACAGTCACCGTTATCTGTAAGGAAGATCAGGGCAGTGAGGGAGCGCTTGATCTGGGAATGTCCCTGAATGTTCACCTCTCTGTGTTATTGTGCTCTCTGCTGGCAACACGGTGAACCTTTACTGGCCCTCGATATATCCTCGATATCTGCAGGATCACTCAAGACCTAGACTGGCTAATCGCTGTCTCCACTGACCCTCCACTGACCCTGGATTGGAAGCGTGCGCTTCGACTCGCATATGAATCCCTGAAACTAATTAAACAGTAGATAAGCATTGTCTAGTTTGGGTCTGCACAAAATAATCAAATAAAAAATATTTAACTGTGCGTGTTTAATACGTTCCATTTTAGATAATACTCGACGTTATTTTATTTATAAATTAATTTTAATTGTATTTATTTTTTTAATATATATATATATATATATATATATATATATATATACACTCTAAAAAATGCTGGGTTGTTTTAACCCAACTTTGGGTCAAATATGGACTAACCCAGCCGTTGGGTTAAATTTTTACATTACATTTTTAACCCAGCATTTTGGGTTTGTCCATATTTGACCCCAAATTGGGTTAAAACAACCCAGCATTTTTTAGAGTGTATATATTTTTTTTTTTAAAAAAAATGAAAAGCCCTTTCAATGGGGCATATTGAATATTTACTATGCAGCAGCTACTGATGCGAGCCAACAGGTGGCGCTGCTCTCCACGCAATGAAAAACCAACAGTGCCTTACCTTGCCATTTGTAGATCTGCACCGACGTTCTATCTGTATAAAAACATGCTCGAGCTCTACATGGCCAAATATGCATTAGCTATTAGTATTTTATACTTGATATGCGTATTCATCATCGAGTTTAATGTTTTGTGTATTATAGGCTAGTATTGAAAGTGAAGGAGGTTTGAAGTGCCCTTGAGGGTGATCGTGGGTAAGTAGCCTATTATGCAATGAGATATGACTAGTCCATATATTATGCTAGAATACGAATATAATCAGTCTCCTTAAATGAATAAAAATTAGATCAAATCACCTTTATTTATTGAACTTTGTTCGTATGATTTTAGTGTGAAAAAAAAATAATAACCTATTTTTTTTTCTGGTATAGGCCTTTGATAACTTTGTTGCTATTACAACGTAAATCATGCAACCATAAAAACTAAGGATTTAAAACAAAACTACAGCTCAAATAATAGGCCTTAATTTGGTTTAAGAGATTTTTTATAAAAGTATAAAATTCACATTAAACACTTAAAAAATGGCCCCATTTGCTTTCATTGTAAATGTCTCACTGTAACCTCAATATTTGTTTTTATTTTTTTTAAGAAAAACAGGGATGAGTCAATCTGTTTTTTTTTATTAGTGCCAAAATGCTGTCGATTGAACGTATCTTGTTATGAAACCCAGAATATTCCTTTAAATGTTGTATATTTGCTTATACAGATGAATTGAGGTCACACTCTGCTAAAGAACAAGCACAAATATAGCTGCAAGCAGCCATTACCGGGGCCAAGCGCAAGAAGCGGCAACATATGCCAAAATGGCTAGGAGTGGCAGACCAACTGCAGCAAGGAACAATTACGGGCATTTTGAGAGAACTTTTGGCAAATGGCTAAAAAAATCACATAAACATTACCTTATAAGATGATTTAATGGGTTATCACTTTCGAACAATAGGTGGCGCAGTTCCGAAATAGATGTGATGTGGTCAGAGTGAGGTGACAATGACACATGCAAAGTTTGGTGTCAAAATGTGAAGGCATTGCAGAGATAAAGCCTAAATAGTAATTTTGGCAGCATGCCTAAACTTTGATGCTGTGTTATACCAAAACGGTTTTGTCCATCATCGTGCAATTCATAACTTTTAGTCGGCACAGTCTGGAGATGATACGATTAAATTTTCGTGAAAATTGGACAAACGGTCTAGGAGGAGTTCGAAAAAGAAGGTTTTTCAAAGAAATAAAGATGACGGACAGGAAGTTTGTCTGATTATGGAAAACCTGATATCTATGTTTTCAGCATAACCCAAGGAATCTATTAAGATCAGTTTCATTGCAATAGGCACATTTATTCAAACGTTATTAGCGTTTTCAGAAATTAATTATGACTTTTGACCAACAGGTGGCGCTGTCTCAAAATCTTTTGAGTACCTTCAGGGCATGCTGCTTATGGCACACACTGAGTTTTGTAATATTACACCAATGCATTTGTTTAGTATAGCATTTTATTTCACAAAACTCTATTGAAGTCAATGGGAATTTCACGTTTTCTTCTTTTATAGCGCCACCAAGAGCCTCAGTCCCACAATTTTTTTCCTGTGTCTTCAGAGTGAGCCCATACATATGTGTGTCAATTTTGATGAAAATATCTCAATTAGCTTCCGAGTTATAAACATTTATATGAAAAAAACACGTAAAAAATGACTGACACATGACTTTTTTTGAATTTTACTACCCTTACTATCAATATTTTCGCATTTGGGCATTTGCATATAGTTAACAAGCTTTGATTCCGTGTTTCTGGCGGTGGTTTCGTCTCGATCGGAACAGCGGTTTTGAAGATATCGCCAAGTGTTTTTTCGCGCTAAATTGCTACGCTACACCAACCGTAACACGAAACCCAGCATGTTTAGTATCGTTGGACTCGGCAACGATTCAGGAACTCAAAAAGATGACTCCCGTGAAAATAAGTGTACCACACCCAAAGTTATAAGCGTTTGAAAAAAAAAATTCACCACTAGGTGGCGCTGTTTCGAAACTTCTCAGGCTTCTTCAGGGCATCGTACTGATGACCCATACCGAGTTCCGTAACAATTCGTTCATGCGTTCAAAAAATACAGCATTTTAGCACATAATTCAAAATGGCCGACAGCCAAAATGGCCGATCTGGGAAAATTGGATATCAGTCGACTCGGCATGATGCCCTGAATCTAACGAGATGAAGTTTATGATTTTTGGACAAACCGTTCAGAAGTTACGAGCAAAAATAGCCATTTTTCATATCTCCGGACCACTAGGTGGCGCTGTGCCGAAACGCAGCACGTAGCCTCAGGTCATGCTTGTGATGACACGTACAAAGTTTGGTCTGAAAACGAGTAAGCGTTGCGGAGATACAGCCTCACGTCTGTTTTCGCAAGTGCTACGTAAAATTAGTTTGCGCGCTTATCGAAAACGGTTATTCGAATCATCATGAATTCCATAACTTTTTGTCAGCACTGCCTGGAGATGATCCGGTGCGATTTTGGTGAAAATCGGACAAACCGTCTAGGACGAGTTCGCAAAAGTAGGTTTTTTGGAAAATTCAAAATGGCGGCCATTTTTTTATGACGGAAAATGACGTCATAGGGTGCGATCGAATCGGCATGAGCTCAGGAACAAGAAGAAAAAAGAATTTTGTTGATAGGCCTTACGGTTCAAAAGTTATTAGCATAATAAAAGTGCAACTTTGGACAGTTGGTGGCGCTAGAGGGAATGAGTTAGAGACACCAAAATTGGTGTATTTAAAGTTGGGACTGTCCTCTATCAGAATGTCAAACCAAAACAACTTTCCCGCAAACCGGTCTATGGGCTGTCATAGACGCCCAGTCGGAAGAAGAATAATAATAATAATAATAATAATAAATATAGCTGCAAGCAGCCATTACCGGGGCCAAGCGCAAGAAGCGGCAACATATGCCAAAATGGCAAGGAGTGGCAGACCAACTGCAGCAAGGAGCAATTAAGGGCATTTTGAGAGAACTTTGGGCAAATGGCTAAGAAAATCACATAAACATTAACTTATAATATGATTTAATGGGTTATCACTTTCGAACAATAGGTGGCGCAGTTACAAAATAGATGTGATGTGGTCAGAGTGAGGTGACAATGACACATGCAAAGTTTGGTGTCAAAATGTGAAGGCATTGCAGAGATAAAGCCTAAATAGTCATTTTGGCAGCATGCCTCAAATTTGATGCTGTGGTATACGAAAACGGTTTTGTCTATCGTCACGCAATCCATAACCTTTATTTGGCACCATCTGGAGATGATACGATTCAATTTTCGTGAAAATTGGACAAACGGTCTAGGAGGAGTTCGAAAAAGAAGGTTTTTCAAAGAAATAAAGATGGCGGACAGGAAGTTTGGCTGATTATGCAAAACCTGATATCTTTGTTTTCGGCATAACCCAAGGAATCTATTAAGATCAGTTTCATTGCAATAGGCAAATTTATTCAAAAGTTATTAGCGTTCTCAGAAAATTAATTATAACTTTTGACCAACAGGTGGCGCTGTCTCAAAATCTTTTGAGTACCTTCAGGGCATGCTGCTTATGGCACACACTGAGTTTCGTAATGTTAGACCAAAGCATTTGTTTAGTATAGCATTGTATTTCACAAAACTGTATTGAAGTCAATGGGAATTTCACGTTTTGTTCTATTATAGCGCCACCAAGAGGCTCAGTCCCACAATTTTTTTTATGTGTCCTCAGAGTGACCCCATACATATGTGTGTCGATTTTGGTGAAAATATCTCAATTTGCTTCCGAGTTATAAACATTTATATGAAAAAACACGTAAAAAATGACTGACACATGACTTTGTTTGAATTTTACTACCCCTTACTATCAATATTTTCGCATTTGGGCATTTGCATATAGTTAACAAGCTATGATTCCGTGTTTCTGACGGTGGTTTCGTCTCGATCGGAACAGCGGTTTTGAAGATATCGCCAAGTGTTTTTTTTCGCGCTAAATCGCTACGCTACGCCATCCGTGAGACGAAACCCGACATATTTGGTATCGTTGGACTCGGCAACGATTCAGGACCTCAAAAATATGACTCCCGTGAAAATAAGTGTACCACACCCAAAGTTATAAGCGTTTGGAAAAAAAATTCACCACTAGGTGGCGCTGTTTCGAAACTTCTCAGGCTCCTTCAGGGCATCGTACTGATGACCCATACCGAGTTTCGTAACAATTCGTTCATGCGTTCAAAAAATACAGCATTTTAGCACATAATTCAAAATGGCCGACAGCCAAAATGGCCGATCTGGGAAAATTGGATATCGGTCGACTCGGCATGATGCCCTGAATCTAACGAGACCAAGTTTTTGATTTTTGGACAAACCGTTCAGAAGTTACGAGCAAAAATAGCCATTTTTCATATCTCCGGACCACTAGGTGGCGCTGCGCCGAAACGCTGCATGTAGCCTCAGGTCATGCTTGTGATAACATGTACCAAGTTTGGTCTGAATAGGATTAAGCGTTGCGGAGATACAGCCTCACGTCTGTTTTCGCAAGCGCTTCGTAAAATTTGTTTACGCGTTTATCGAAAACGGTTCTTCGAATCATCTTGAATTCCATAACTTTTTGTCAGCACTGCCTGTAGATGATCCGGTGCGATTTTGGTGAAAATCGGACAAACCGTCTAGGACGAGTTCGCAAAAGTAGGTTTTTTGGAAAATTCAAAATGGCGGCCATTTTTTTATGACGGAAAATGACGTCATAGGGTGCGATCGAATCGGCATGAGCTCAGGAACAAGAAGAAAAAAGAATTTTGTTGATAGGCCTTACGGTTCAAAAGTTATTAGCATAATAAAAGTGCAACTTTGGACAGTTGGTGGCGCTAGAGGGAATGAGTTAGAGACACCAAAATTGGTGTATTTAAAGTTGGGACTGTCCTCTATCAGAATGTCAAACCAAAACAACTTTCCCGCAAACCGGTCTATGGGCTGTCATAGACGCCCAGTCGGAAGAAGAATAATAATAATAATAATAATAATAATAATAAGAACCGGCACAGATACAATAGGTGCCTCCGCACCTTCGGTGCTTGGCCCCTAAATATGTAGTATTTAAAAAAATAATTAATTTTCAAAAAGCTATTTTTGAAAAAAATGTATAGATTAAAATGTATGATCATTTAAAACTGTCCATTTGAATGTTGAGGTTGGAATGTTCTCCATTCCAAAAGAATGAAAGTGATGATGTCATCAATTATGGGATCTGCATACTGCATTGTGATAGGCCTTTTGAGTTTACCTAAAGTGGACATCTGCTTGGTCCAGAAGCTGGCATCCCAGTTAAACTTGATTTTCAATGGGGTCCAAGCCTCTGAGAGCATCAGTGGCTCCAGTAATTGCTGCATCTGAAGAGCAATCTGACAAATGAATTATAGATCAAACCTCATGATTACAGAGACACCGAGTTATAAATATTGCATGCAATTCTGGCAATGAAACTGAAACTCTTTCTGCGCTGTTTCTATTTTTGAGTTCGTGAGAGCATGATTAAGGCGAACTCTAAGAGATCTAAATGCAGCAGCAAAAAGAGGTGAGGCTGCTTTAAACTAATAGCGCTGACATCTTTTTGAGACCTGCCAGAAACATAGAACGCAGCTGCCAGGAATCTTAACATCTAAAGCCCACTTGGACGTTGAGAAAATCCTACCAGCTCTTTGCTGAATAGCAGCGGATTGCGTCTGTGATGGGCCGTAGCCCAGGTAAAGAAGTTCTGCACATGCTCCAGCTGGCTGCACAGTTCTATGGCCCCCTGCAGCTGGTCCTCCAGACGTTGCTTGAAATCACTGGAAATACTCTGCACCGGAAGACAACGACAAAAACATGGATCCCCTCGTCACTTTTCCCAAGATCCCCATCTGTTTGGATTTGTCACTACTTGGCGGAATCTGTCTATTTTGCATGATTTGCTCTGAAGACGTTCAGTTCCGCACGCTCCATCACCACGACATCCACAGTCAGCTGGATGTTTGGAGATGAATGCGTTTGGAAAGACGGAGAGGGAGAAAAAGTAATTACCTCCAGTTGCTCTATTAATAGGTTGGCCCGTTTGTTAAGCTCGTTCATCATAATCATCTTTGCCATTTTTATCTGGTTCTCTGCCTTCCTCTGCGTGATCTTTATACCGTGGAGCCTGGACAAACGGAAAGAAAAATGAACAGGGAGATGGCTAAGGGAGGATAAACAAACCGATATGGCCAGTACATCTGGATGCTTAAACATCTGCTGAAATCATTCTAAGGAAGTAATGGATCTTGTTAATGTCATTATGCTTCATTTAATCTGTTTGTCTGTTCAGATGAGTAATGGACACGCTTTGCTTAACTAGCATTAACGCTAACATTAGCAGCATCGAGGAGGTGGAATAGATGAGGTGTCGCCCCACCTGCCCTGGATCTGTTTGGCGGTGCTCTCCACAGTTGATCTTTTCTCCTCCACTCGGGCCATGAGGTTCTGCAGGAGCCAGCGCTGGTCTTGCAGAGCTTTCCCAACATGCACCAGCCTAGAGACAAGAAACCAACAGCAAGTAAAACACCTTTGACTTTTAAAGTTTACACACAACATGCTCGATAGCATATAGCTGTTGATACGTGAGAAAGAGGCCATCTGTTCTGTCTGCATCTTTGTGCATGTGTTTAGAAAGACCTATGAGAGAGAGAGAGAGAGAGTGTGTGTCTGCAAGTGCTTGGATGTGTACAAGTGCATCGTGAACGTATGCATGCGTGTCAGTGGGTATTTGTCCTCTACGCATACCGGTGGTCTTTGTGGGCGGACAGGTGACAGATGCTGCAGGCCATGAGGTCGCACGTTTCACACAGGAGTTCCAGAGGCTCCTGTTTATGGAGAGGACACATGACAACAGCATGCCCGCAGCAACCGGCTCCTGAGACACGCAACACAACAGAGAGAATTAGATGATGCCCATTAAGACCACATTATCTATAATCAAGAATCACAAATCAAAAAGAAATGTTATAAACGTACGATTGAAAAATGCATGAAAACAAATGTGTTAATAAAAGCATGTGGAATCTCTTAGAGGTTTAATGAGGTTTTAAGTACATGTATGCAGAGCGAACTTGTTGGCCTCTGTGAGTCACTCTCTATGCTAGCTTCATTTATTTTTAGTGGAAAAACAAAGCCCATCAAAACGCTTATAAATATTTCTGGACGTATAAATGCATCTTTTTATTCCAGCAAAAGAAAAAACAGATAAAAATGGAACACAGCAGAGCTTTGATCAATCAGTTAATGTCTCATTAAAAGCCCTGCCAATACGAGGAATGTACCTCTACATGTGCTTCTGAAGAGCCAAATAAAGTAACAGATACTGCCATCACGTGTACCTTTCCAATGGCCCACATTTCTGACACAAACCCAGCACTGGACATTTACACAAACTACCCAGCTAACTAAAAGATGTTCTAAGAACATTTTGCTGACATTCCCATTCAGTTATAATAACGTTACTTCTGAATGTTCTCTGACAGTGCAAAACATCTAGTTTTAAAATGCAGTAGTAACATTTAAAAGAAATGCTAAGCAAACATCTTAACCTTTCAGGTAAAAACATTCTATGAACGATGTATAAAAAATGTTTTTGTGTTAACTTTGTGAGAAGAATATGAAAAGATACCTTTGAACAATTTTTTTAACATTACTAGAAGAATGTTTGCTCATAACTTTAAGAGAACCTTGTTAGCCACAATGTTAGCTAAAGTGGTGAGAAAGTTCCCAGTCAGCTGGGGATCCCCACATACAGGGCTTAGACCATTTTATTTTATTTTATTGTATTTATTTGTTTTTTTAGTAATTTAACTTATTTTGTTGTTCCAATAAAACAAAAATAAATTCTTTCTCTTTTTTATATGAATTACTATACATTTATATATTTATTTTAAACATACAGTACTGGTCAAAAGTTTAGAAAAATAACTTGCTTTTAAAAACGCTCATTGAGTTTTTGAAATGCACAATGTGCATTTGAAATGCGCATTTTGTTTTTGAAATGCTCATCAAGACAATTCTTATGCTCATCAAGGCTGCATTTATTTATTTATTTGATCAAAAATACAGACAATACAGTGATATTGTGAAATATTATTAAAATAATTAAAATAATATGTTATCAAAACTAATAAAAATAATATTCAAATTTAAATAAATAATATTAGAATAACACAATTAAATTAAAATATTATTAAAACAATTCAAAATAATGGTTCCCTTTCGAGGGAACTCGCGATGCGTCGATGACGCTTTGGGAATGCCTTTGAGTCTGAAGCACTACTGTCAACTAGTCCAATGGAATGAATGAAGGGTCACAGGCGGGTGAGGTCATGACCATGAAGACCGGTGCAATGCACGCATTGGCTTTTGTATTAGCTTTTATATTTCAAGAAAATAAATAAAAAACAATTGGAGTTTCCTTCGTGGCGCCTTGAGACTGAGGCCTGCAGTTCAAACTATGGTGCCGGCATGGGATCTGGGGATAGTTTTGGAAGGCCTGTCAGGGGCTCCCTTCGAGCCACTAGAGTAGACCAAACTAATGGATGGTTAGTTTCAGAAAAGTTCCTGATATGTTAAGACATTTCGTCCCTAAAAAGAGTCGGAGACCTTCAGGCTCTTCTGGTGTCTCCCACCTGTGAGCACTGGACACCTATATCCACAGGGCTGCCCCGTGGAGAAGATCTGATCAGTTGTTGTCTGTTTTGGTTCACCTAAGAAAGGTCTTCCTGCTTCTAAACAGACAATCAGTAAGTGGATAGTCGAGGCTATTTCTCTTGCATGTGAGTCCTCTGGCCAGATGTGCCCTTTGGTGGTCAGAGCTCACTCTACCTGAAGTATGGCATCATTGACGCATCGCAAGTTCCCTCGAAAGGGAACGTCTCAGGTTACGACTGTAACCCTAGTTCCCTGAGAAGGGAACGAGACGATGCGTCTCCCTGCCATACTTCCTGCATCCCTGCGATTGACTTTGCTTCGGCTCTATAAGCTAACCTGTGCATTGCACCAGATGGCCTTTTATATCTTCCTGGTTGCCTTAAAATTTTAAGTTCATTGAACTGGAAAAAGTGAGTTAATGCAATGAAGGAGAATGATTTAATCATCAGAAACTCAAAATAATAAGTTCAACTAAATAAATTATTATAAAGTTGATTTGACACAAGAAAATATGTTGTGATAACAAATCTTGAAAATATTCATTCATTCCATTGGACTACTTGACAGTAGTGCTTCAGACTCAGTCACGCAAAGGCGTTCCCAAAGCGTAATCGACGCATCGTCTCGTTCCCTTCTCAGGCGTTTTCTATTTTAATGCACTTAAAATATAATTTATTTCTTTGATCAAAGCTGAATTTCTATCATCCATTACCATCAATTATTATCCATCCATATTATCAATTCAGAAATTATTCTAATACACTGATTTTATCCTCAGTTTTTATCAATGTTGGAAACAGTTGTGCTGCTTAATATTTTTTTGGGGAACCTGTGATACTTTTTGCAGGATTTATTGATGAATAAAAAGTGTTAAAAAAAAAACTTTTCTACCTTTCTAACTTTTCTATGGTGATCAATCTTGAAAAAGTATCATATGTTATAAAATTAAAAATTAATTAAAATGAATCATATGTTATTATAAATTAATGTTATTCTACATTTCCAACATGATAATAAAACAGCATATTAGAATGATTTCTGAAGGATCACGTGACACTGAAGACTGAAATAATGAGTGATGAAAATTCAGCTTTAAAATTTAATTGCAAATTTATAGCGAAATTCATTTTTTTTCTCAAATAAATGCAGGCTTGATGACCATAAGAGACTTCTTGTTTCCAATAATGTTTTTATTGTTAAAATATAAACTAGATGCCCCTGCTTTTTTCAGCTCAGCACATAAATCCACAAAACTCTACCAAAGATGTCTATCCAGAAATTAGTTGGTGTGAATATACACACATCTACTTGAACCTGGGCTGAAGCAAACGGCATAAACAAATAAATCAAACATTTTTGTTCCATTATTATACCAAAAAATCCTACTCTTAATAAAACAAGTCCCTTTGCATACATAATTCTGCAACCAGAGAGTTAGTCAGGCAGAACGCAGAACTCCATTAGAAATGAAGGACCTCGGTGACAGCACCTGTCACACTGGATCTACAGTCTGTCCATCAGAAGCGCTGGCTGGCTGATGCTGTGACAGTATAGGGTAGACAGAGAGACACGCTGACACATTGCACAGGGAGAGAGGGTGTTAAGTATGAGACCACAGGCTCCAACACTGAAGAGCTCCCACTGCCTCAGTGCATACTGGTGACCGACCACATCCTGCTTCACACCCGCACTTCTGTTTCTCTCACACTCTCTCATCTATCTTTTCTGTCATTCTTTTTTGTCACTTTATTCTCTTGTTTTTTGTGAGGACTTGTGGTGACGCTATCATATGTTTAGTGGATTTCAGAGCGTCTCACGAAACAGCTCAGGAGTATCGACGAAAGGAAGCTAGTATAGGACAAGCTGGCTAATTTTGTGCTGCCTTTTCTGAGAGAGAATCAGTTTTAGAAACTAGGTCACATAAAAAATACACCACTACAATACATCACAGGATAATTATTCACACTTATTATAAAATGCATTATTCATGGAGTTAAAGAAGAGGGGTTCGAAAAATATGCTGCAGAGCTGACAATGTCCAGTGGCTAAGAGCAGACATGTGCAAGCAAACAGCCAACCAAAGCTAAAAGAGGAAAGTAATTACAGATAGGCAAAAAGAGAGACGTCTTGCCTATTTCAGACGGTGACGGAGGGTCTCGCGGCTGGTGCTGCAGATCAGAGGGTTGAGTGGAGACTCTCTCATGCTGGTGCAGGTCTGTGCACTGGAAGCACAGCCACTTGTTGCAGAAGGTACACAAGCTCTGCGCCATCCGGGGCTCTGAACACTCAGAACAGCACTGAAGCACAAGCAGATACATTGAGGAATCATTCTTTTGCATTCCGATAGGATGGAGTGAAGTAGTAGCTAAAAGTAGCATCTGTAAATATCTCAAGTAGCACTTTAAAATATCAAAAGAAGTGTTTTTTTGTTGTTGTTCATACAGTTAGTCAATATTGTTTCACCCCATTGACTTTCGAAATATCGTCTTTTGTGTTCTACAGAAGAAAGAAAGTCATGTAGGTTTGATTTTTTTGGGGTGAACTATTGGATGTCTACTGGGACTTAATATTTATAAACCAAGCATTGTTGTCATGAAAAAACAACATAAAGCATTCATAATGAGAGCAAAGCTGCCCGTTTCAAAGGATGCCAAAAATATTCACATTTACATTCCGCAGTATTCCCAAAAAGCAAACCCAGCGAAACAATTACACATTATGCGACATCTGTGTGTCACAAGAAGCCGCAGTTTGCTGATTACCTCAGTGTCAAACCAAAAACAAATCAAATGTTGCATTTTGCAACTCTCCAAATCTCCTGAAAATGCAATGCATAAGCAATCTTACCTTCTCCATGGTGGTGGCGGGATCCAGATTCCTCGTGAGAGCGTGAGAAAGATTGCGATATCCAGCCGAGCAGCTCTCGCAGCAGTGAGGCAAGGACACGGCAAGCCTCTGACACAGCTAGAGCTCCACACCACACTGTGACAGCTCTACCTGCGGCAGGAAGTAGTGCACACTGCACACTTTAACCCCGGTGGAGTAGACTCCTGAGCGCTCCTCGTGTGCCCTCAGCCGTGGCCGGCGTGTAGCTCTCCTCATTGGCTTCCTGCAGCAGCTCGAATCTCGAATCCTTCCCTCTGACAGCCACCATGATCTTTCTTCTTAAATAAGCCTGTTCATAATAATTGGGAATTAGGGAGGGCTGATAATTATTTTTTTTTCTGGGACAAAATATCCCCGGCAGCCTTGTTGCCAAAAATGGAAGGGGAGAGGTGCCAGATGACCTACAATATTTAAGAGAATGGCACATGAAGGGTGTGAGATGGATCGGGGATGAGGGAACACACGTTGGTGCCCTCCTTCCTCACTTCCTTAGATCAGCACTAGTAAAGGACAGGTCCCTCCGGACAGGACCCGCTCCCACGTAACACGCTGAAACCGGGTCAGCCTTTTCCAGGAGAAGATGGGAATTGAGATGTGCTCGCACAATGCCCTGCAAAGCGTGAAATCAATTATGATTGTATCACACTTCATCTTCTTGAAAGAATTTTGAGGCATGACTTCTTTCAAAATCTTTCACAGGTAGGAGATATTCAACAACCAATGCATGAAGTGGAAAAAGGCAGATGGGTGGGCGGGCAAAAGGGGATTGGCGTAAACTAACGAAACCGTACGTAACCCGAACTGACATCGGTTATCGTGCAGATCCCCACTAAGAAACCACCGTGAGTCTGCCTGACAACAACCCCTGCAGCCTGACCTACAAATCTGACAACTCTCTCTTCCTCTAGAGCTGCTCATGGGAGCTTAAAACCATCCGATTCCCCATTGTGTACCCACAGACCCACTTTAAAACACAATTAGTCTACCCAGCCAGTCTTCTCTGTTGTTCTTCGGGCAGACAGGCGTGCATGCGTCTCCCGTCTTGCCTTCCGTGCCACTCCATTTGGCTTTTAAAACAAAAGCTTACGCTTCCTCTCTCTCTCTCTTTCTAACTGCCAGAGATAGCTCCTTTTC